CCCTATAATTAAGATAGGCAGCCCTTGGATACTTTGAAACATAAGGCTTCATATACCTATGGAGTGACCTAATCCACTTCAAATGCTTCTTTGAAATCCCAACTCCATTTACTTCCCATTTGACTAAATACTGTATATTATACAAATTTCCTTTCCTATGAGGAAAAGGGATTTCTGATTCTAATATTTTATTCATTTTTCCACCATATGGATCCATTATTATAAAAACTAACTCTTCTTCCAAAAATCTCTTCCATATTCCTTCCAGTCCTCCTTTAGGTATAGCTTCTGTCACATAATCAGATTTTGCCTTGAAATTAGCTTTATATAATTGAGTCTTGTCAAGTAATACCTCTAAAGAACTACCTATAGGAAACCCAGCAAAATATAAAGTAGATTCAATCCAACTCATTTCTATACAATCTTCTACTCTCAATCCCAATTCAGGAAAGCTTTTGTTCATCAATGGCGTTAATCGGTCGATCCGGCCAAGAAACAATGCATTAAAAGAAGCTTGAACTGTTCTTATATTTGCAGAGCTATTAACATTTTGTATTATAACTCTAACAAAAAGATCTTCATTTAATTTTTCTGCAGTATATTGCCATTGATGAACAAGCTTGGTAGCGCCTTCTTCGATCGTTTTTGGAATAGTGAAAACAGTTACAGTAAGTGGGACTCGAACTAATTTTATTTTCCAAGAAAGTATAATTCCAAAACTTGCTCCTCCTCCTCCTCTAATAGCCCAAAACAAGCCTTCTCCCATTTTTTCTCTATCAAGAACTCTTCCATTAACATCAATTAAGAAAGCATCAATTATGTTATCAGCTGCAAGTCCATATTTTCTTAACAAAGTACCAAAGCCCCCTCCACTAAAATGCCCACCAATTCCTACTGTAGGACATAGCCCTGCAGGGAAGCCATGAACATTGCTCTTTTTACTAATTGCATAGTAAAGCTCACCAATAGTTGCTCCAGATTGAACCCAAGCTGTTTCATCTTCTGTTTTGATCTCTATTGCTCGAAAATTCATAAGATCGATGATTATGAATGGAGTAGGACATAAGAAAGATAAGCCTTCATAATCATGTCCGCCGCTTCGAACCCTAATTTGTAACCCTAATTTTTTGCTGCAAAGAATGGCTGCTTGGATTTCAGACTCATGGAATGGTGTAATAATAAGAAGAGGATAATTATTTGTACTAGTAGAGTTAACCCATCTTAGATTTTGTTGAGTTGAATGTAAAATAGATGAATATAGAGAGGAATTTGGAGTGAAAAATATTTGAACTGACTTGGTATAGGCATTGAATTCGGTTGACATGCAATTCATGAAATTTTCTTGGATTGGATTTGAATTTGTACACGAAATTAAAAGCAAAGGCAAGCATACTACAATAATAATTACAATGTGCTTCATTTCTCTTTTTTTTTTTTTTTTTATTAAAATGTGCGATTCATTTCCTTTTTTTTTTTTTTTTTCATTTCTTTTTTTTTTTTTTTTCTCTTTCTGGGGTATATGAAGTTAGTAACCAAGTTTGGTGTGTATATATATACATCTGAGTTTGTTTTGTTTTGATATTAGAAAGAACTTCCAAGTGCAGAGAATTTTGAGAAGCCGGCTTCTTGCTAATTGTTGGTCTGGATTCGTACATGGAGACAAGAAAACGATGATTTCAATAGGGGAAAACTAAACAAAACGACATTATGCTTTTGAGAGCTATTGCGGGTTGTCGTTTCGTCTCAATCGGCAATCCAGTTCCTTCTATTATAAATTTTTTCCCTTGTCTTAAACGATAAGTTCTAATATTGGAAATGGAATTCACTAGATTGGTATCATTTCTTTTTTCTTTTTTATTTTTTTGTGTTTTTTCCTTCTACTTTTCAAAGGAAAAATTTTATTTTTTTTGAAACAGAGTTGATAAAACAAGCAATTTCCCCCTATTCTGAGATATTAAATAACAAAAAATAAATGATAAGTTAAGAAAATAGGCTTTGGAGAACTTAAAATTGAAAGTATTTTGTTGTGCCATTTGGAAGATGTTCCTACAGATTGCAGCATCACTGTAAGGTCCGATGGACTAGAACAGCATGAAATTTGCATCTATGAGTTGTGCCGGCTACAAATACAAAACAGAATAGCCATTTGACACCTCTATCATAAGCTATGGCTCGTCGAAGGTTTCTCCATCTAGTTCTAGCTAATTGTTAAACCTTTTCTTTTAAATGTTGAAAGCACTCTCTTTTAATTGTATTTTTTTTTTTATAATCTAATATTTATAAATATTAATGCTTACTGGTTAAGGAAACGTTTCGTGAAATATTATTATTTTATATTTAATAGCTAATGAACCAATTATTATTACCGAAAATTTTTTGCTGTAGACCATTATAGAAATAGTTAAGTTAATCACTTATAGCTAATATTTATCAATTAACAACTGATATCTACAACAACGGTTAATACCTATTAGAACAATTAATAATACCGAACTACTGTGATTTCAAAATTAGTATTGCCGAATATGGTGTCAGGTTCTGTGTTCATAGGAATTTAACCATTACAGAGGATTAGTGTTTTTGAGTGAACAAAGAGAAAGGGGATCAAGAAAGAGAATTAGGAGTGAAGGAAGAAGAAATTTAGATCGTAATTCATTGATATCCCAAAAGAGATTAGGGTTACAGCTCATGCACACGTGCCTTACACATCAACACAAATAGCCACATAATCAATAATAACTGACTCAGCATAGTTTAACAGTCCCAAAATTACAATCAGAGACAAAAGTGAAATAATAAATTGCAATTAAGTCCAAGTCATTTATTTAATTACTAATAACCCTAACACATGGCTTCAGTTTATGATGGTTTAAAAGAATTTCAAAACCAAACAATAAACAGCAGTTTACCATTTTTTAAAATATAAAACTGAATTTGAAGTAAATCAAAATAAGGGTTTTTTTAAAATGATTTGAAATAAATAAGTTGATTTATACAATTGCACTTATCAAAATTTTCTCTAAATTTTGACAATCTTTTTTTTCTTTTGAAAGAATAGTTCATCAATAAAATAATTAATTGAAAATAAAATAGTTACTTTGTAAATTTTAATTCAAATGAATAATATCCATTAAATATATTTAGATTTAATTAGAAAATTTGGACTCAAAATTTAGTTCAAGTCATATTTTCATGGTTGAAATAAGTTCATATAAAAGTGAGTAAAGTTCTTACTATTAATGTATTCTAATAAAGACAATTTTGATATATAGGTAGGTAAGGTTTGCTTTATTTCTTTCTATTGAAATATAAATGTTCCAATCAACTGCTGTTTCCATCATCAAATTTTAGAGTTTTTTTCTATCAGTTGGTAGCTGATTTGTATTTATATTATTTGGGATGTTATTAACTTCATAAAAATAGTTACTAATAGTTTTAATATCATTATATTGGTAGCTGATTTGTATTTATATTTATTTGGATGTTTATTAAACTTCATTTAAAAAATAGTTACTAATAGTTTTAATTCATTATATATATACTATATATAATATATAAAAAAACAATTATGCACTTTAATAGTCATTTATATTTTAAAATATATATATAAAAAACAATTATGCACTTAATAGTCATTTTATATTTTAACAGAAATCAGTACCAATATTTTACCAAACACAAATACTAATCAGCTGCCAGCAACTGCTATCAGCTATCAGCTGATATGAATCGTTGAACGAAACAGGCCCTTAATCAGAATGCCAAAATTCAGTGGACAAAATAAATGATAAAATTTACCTACACTCGAATATGAATGACCAGGTTCGATTTTAAATCAGAACCAAATCAAAATTGAATTTGTCAAAATCGGCACTAAATCGTTGTCAACGGTTTTAGTTTCAAACTGTAATCGAAACTGCGCATTTAAGATTCGGTTCCGATTCTTTATTTTTTGAAACCAAATCGGCGATTTTGGTTTAAAATTACTGATTTTGATTTGAAACCGTGAAAAATACGTTCTTAAAGAAACTTCCAACTTATTTTTTTATTTTATTATAATTTTTTAAAGAAACTTTTAATAATTTTATTAAATATTGGTGTGTTTTTTTCAATAGTAATATTTACTATTATTATTATTATTATTTATTCAAACTACAAAACTAAAAAAGCATTTTAAAAAGTATGAAATATAATTATCTAATTTCGGTTCAAAACTAGAACCGGCAATTCCAAAACCATCTTAGAAACTGTCTAAAAATAGTTTGGTTCTAATTCTAACTTTTTTATAATTGAAACCGATAGTTTCAAAACCGAAACCGGTAGATTTGAAATATGGTCATGCCTACTCTAGAGATAACACATGCAGGAGGCGGAGCTAGGATAATTTTTTATAGGGACCAAACAAAATTTGTTGAACTTTTAGTAGTTAAAGATATATAATTTTTCTATATCTTGAAATATAAAAATGTAATTTTCATAAGGTTTTTTTTTTTTTTTTTTTTTTTTTTTTTTTTTTTTTTTTTTTTTTTTTAAATTTGTTTCTTTAGCGGGCTCCAACCCTCTCTTAAGTTTCCATGCCCACAGAGGTTTAAACATGTGTAAGTGTCCACATGCCCACCACCAAAAGTGATAATTACTTCTCTCACAAAATTCCAGTTCTGCATGGAACATTTCGTTATTTTTTTTTTTTTTTTTTTTTTTTTTTTTTTTTTTTAAATTTCTTAGGCGGGCTCCAACCTCCTTAAGTTCCCACAGAGTTTACACATGTGTATGTCCACATGCCACACAAAACGTGATAATTACCTATTCTCACAAATTTCCAGTTCTGCATGGAAGCATTTCGTTTAAAATATTTTTCAAACTTTCAAACGGTGCTTTAACTATGAATGACATGAAAATATTCTGAACACATTTTTTATTTTTAGCAAATGGACATATTTTCCACTATATTAATAATTGTTTTAAATGATATATGCACTTGAAAAACAAAGGCAGTGTTTGCTTACCTCTAAGTATATATACCTTTGCTCCTATCCACCTCAGCATATACATCCCTCATAGATTGCCTCTCTTTTCTTTTGTCTGCTTGGGCATTTGCCAAAAAGGTTGTTATGGTAAATTCACTTGGAAAACAATTTTCTTTTCAATTATATTATTATTATCATTTCATTTATAATAATTGAATTTCCTGCAGAAAATGTGTCCAAAGGGATTCACTGTTGATCTCTGTAAGCCTCATCTCTTCCAGGTAATTAAAGTTCCAATACTTGTAATAGTTTTATGTAATATTTTATCGTTATTTGATAAATACATTTCAATTTCATGAAACACAAATTTTATTATGGGGAAATACATTTCATTTAGAATTATTATTCTTGGGTGTGCAATGAACCTTGTTGATGCAATGGAAAGTTTAAATTTGATCCAATTAAAAAATTTAAAGAGTTCACAAATAATGTTTAATTTCGGTTTAAATGAGGGTATTTTTAAATATATACCGGAAAAAAGATAAAATAATAATATTTTTTTTTTAAAAACATTTTTTTATTGATTTAGTACATGAGATCACTCATACACTGAGCGTAGGCAAGAAATTTCCTTAAACTTGATTGAGTTGCGATTGAATATTTAATATACTTATTACTAGAAACAACATTTAAACCTCAATTCTAAACTAGTTGGAGTCAGTTAAATTAATTCTTTACTTCGTTTCATTCAGTTTATAGCTAACTGGCTTTAACTATACATATAAATGATGAATTTTTTTTAATTAATTAACCTTTTGAAATGTATATATGACAGGTTGGTTACCTTGGAGAACATTATGATGGATGGGTTCACCAGCCTATTATAACAAAGGAAAGCCCTCGGTTTTTCCAGAGTGAGATTTTGGAGGTAATGTTATATATAAATCATATTTCTTTTTGATAATTAACAATTAATTTCATCTACCCTGTATGAGATGAAATGACAAAGATCTCTTCTCCTTGATCAGAGATTTTGAGTTTAAGCTCTGGATATAGAATTCATTTTAATATTTGGGCGAAAAGCACTTTGGCCCTTTTAGGTCTGCTGAGCATGGATCCAGATTAGTCGAGCCCGTTAAAAAAAAAAAAATGATTAACTTTTGTTTTTTCTTTTTTTGTTTGAGAACATACAGTGGGTGACTCGGTCAGTTTGGTGGGTAGTTCCAGTAATTTGGATACCAATGGCATGTTGGTGCATTTCCATTTCTATAAGAATGGGCCATTCATCTTCTAATGTAGCTTTAATGGTGGTTTTTGGGATTTTTGTTTGGACATTTCTCGAATACCTTTTGCACCGCTTCCTTTTCCACTTCAAAACTAAGACTTACTGGTAAGTTTCTCTTATTTCTTAATATGAGTAATGCATAACTGTTTAAAGAAGAGAAAAGAAAGGAAAAGAAAAAGAAAAGAAAAACTCCACAGTATAAATATAAGATACTGAGTTTGGATGAACTAAAATGGGTTTGGTTAATTTAGGGGAAACACCATACACTATCTTCTTCATGGGTTGCATCATAAGTTTCCGATGGATCGTTTTCGGCTTGTCATGCCTCCTTTAGCAACCGCTCTTTTCTCTCTGCTGGTATGCATTTCTATATATATATATATATAAATATATATATATTCATTTTTCTCACTCTCTTTGTATTATAGTTGATAACAAAATTTATTGAAATTTAGTTACTAAATTTATGTTCCTGCATGTAGTTCTGGCACTTGTTTCATTTTGTGGGCACCCCCTCAACTGCTCCTGCTGTATTTGGAGGTACTTTGCTGGGTTATGTGATCTATGACTTGACTCACTACTATTTACATCATGGTCAACCCTCAACTTTACTGTCTAAAAGTCTCAAGGTAATATTTTCTTGGAAAATATACTAATTTTAGAAATATATTTCTTGAATTTAAATAATTGTTAGGAGCAATATATATCTTGTTTGTGGTTAATTAGTTGCTTCTATTTGGCAGAAATACCATTTAAGTCATCACTTCAAGGTCCAAGATGTTGGGTTTGGAATTACTTCAACTCTGTGGGACATTGTATTTGGAACACTTCCTCCAATTCAAGTGATTGAAAAGAAAGAATAATGTTATTGGAGATGGCATCAATTAATTTTACAAATAGTTTTCTTTGGGGATCATTTGCTTGTCTTCATTATCAATGAATAAGCTCTTGTATGTTGAAGAACCGATCTAGACAAATATATGTATTATTTAGTTTAAATATTAAATATTTAATTTCCTTTTTATGCTGTAATATCATTATGAGCTTGTGTGTTTCGAGTTTATGGTATTAAAACTTATTTGAATAGATGAATTTATTTATTTATTTATTTTTTTATAGAAGGAAGCAAAACTTAAGAAAAATTACAGAAAAGAGGTAGTAACACTTTGTTGCTCAGTAGTCACCAAACAAACAAGGAAGTCCGGTAACCTAGACAAAGAATAAAGGGAATGCCTTTCTAAACCAAATTTGGGTAACCAGTCAGCACAATTATTGGTCTCATAAATGGAGTGTGAAACATGAATATCCCAATCCTGAGCCAAAAACTGCTTGATGTTCCAAACTATAGACTGAAAGATACCATTCCAAGGACGACTATTAGTTACAATATCCACAACTAACTTGGAATTCGACGTCAACTGGTCCTTGCGATAGCCATTGGTGCAAGCTAGATGAAGACCATACCAAATAGCCTATAACCCAGCCATAAGAGAAGCACAGAACCCAATAGCAGCAAAAAGCCCCCTCTCCAGAAACCCATGTCATCTCTTATGAGGACACCAACAGCACTTCGGTTGGAATTGAAACTCACAGCACCATCTACATTGACCTTGACCCACCCATGCAGAGGTTTAACCCCAGAAACAACATCATGGTGTGAAGGAGCATTAAGGAGACAAATTTGTTCTTTATTTGCTATCTACACCGAGCAAGCCAAAGAAAGAATAGCATGAACAGAAAAAGAATAAAACCTTGTCCGAGGAATTAAAAAAAAAAAACAGCATTCCTGTGATTCCGGGCTTGCCAAACCGTCAACTCGAAGACAATAGACCAAGGAATGTTTCTGTCAATAGCCAACCGAGAAGCCAAGTTGGCATTATGCCAAGAACAAAGATCAAAAGCAAAAAAAAGGTCCTGCAATGGCCGAGGAACGAGAGTTTTCCAGACTTCATGAACCATAGGACAGTCATGCAAAGCATGGAGAATGGTTCTAGGACTCCGTTTACAAAAGACCATAACACTCCCCATCACAAAGCTTACGTCGCTTACGTTGAACATAGGAAAACAACCGACCATGGCCTGCCAACCATAGGGTAGTTTGAACTTGTTGGGGGCCACGCCACTTCCCCATGCTATCCCAATTTAAATCTGGCCTTGAGCCATGAACATCATCTTCCTCCATAAGCAAGTCAACAGCCGAGGATATGGTGAATTTACCAGAATTGTGGAACTCCAAATAACGTCATCCTCAATTCCATGAGGAGACATATAGCTATGATTTTCTTGATGATTTCCTCAGGCAAAATCGTATGAAGCCATTCAACTCCCACGTCCCATTAGTACAAATTTCATTGATGAACAGATGCTGTTGGGACGCATCAATATCAACCCAAGCTTCATTAATAAGGGGACCAACATCTAGAAGCCAATGATCAAGCAAAAATCTCACCCTGGAACCCGTACCCACAGACCAACCCAAAGCTGAATTTAAAAAAGGAAAATAGAAACGATACTGCGCCATACGGACGAACCACCGACGCCTTTAGCTTCTTTCCAATCAACAAAATCTCCTTTCAAATATTTAGCTAAAGAACCCGAACCCGACCCCATAAAGAATTAAAATCTTTTTGCATAAGCCAAGCCAATTTTAGCAAAAAAGCCTTGTTTACAACTACAACCTGACGTAAACTAATGCCTCCTTTGGATTTTGGCCGACACACCATGTTGAATAAATTAGAATAATAAAACTCTAATTTATCAAGAAGAAGAAAAACACTCTTAAGAACTATCTAACAAAATTGCAAAGAAGAAGAACACTTAAGAAAGCTTTCAAAACGCTTTTATTTAAGCTTTGATCCTTAAAACACACCTAAGAAACTTTATCTAACAAAATTGAAAAGAAGAAGACACTTAAGAAGCTTTCCAAAACGCTTTTCTTACTAAATCTTTGTTTGATCCTTGGATAATAAAACTCAAATACGAGGGGGGTATTTAATAGAATTACAAGAATCAATCTACACAACAACCATTCATTAAAATAAACACAACTAATCTAGACATCTGAGATTAAAGAAATTACTACCTAATTTTCACCTAACTAAAATGATGTAGGCAAATGACATCAAAATTAATTTGGTGTCCTAACTTTGAACACTAACTTTGAAATTCAACAATTGGGCTTATTTGAATCTTTAACACTCCCCCTCAAATGTTAGCCCCCATTCTTTGAATTACGTCAAAGTTACAGCGGAAATGTTTCAAACTTTCCAACATTCAAGCTCTTTTTGGTAAGCAAGCCGCAAGTTTGCTTAAATCTGCCTTATTTTTGACTTGCCTCATCTCAAATTTCTCTGTGCAGAACTTTCTCTCTAACAAAGTTGATAATGTACTTCCACATGTTTAGGTTCTAGCAGTGAAAACTGGATTTTCGCTAGACGAATTGCTGATTGGTTATCACAGGTTACAACGGAACTGCATATCTAGCTGGTTTGATGTAGATCATTCATCAGTTGTAATCACCAGGTGCTGTTCTTGAAAGCTGCCATGCTGCTTGGCTCGAGACTGCAGCTTCTGTGGTTTGACATGATACCGTAGGTGTCTCTTACTACACCAAGATATTCGTTCCAGAACCAAGCTTAAACAAATACCCAGTTGGTTGATCTCCTGGTATCATGAGCATAGTCAGCATCACAGTAACCAACTAGTTTGCAATCTTTACCTTTCTTGTACAAAAGACCGTAGTCAATTGTACTCTTCACATATCTTAGTATTCGTCGAACTACTTCCAAATGATGCTTCTTTGGATTTTGCATGTATCGACTCATTACGCCAACTGCATAAGAAATGTCAGGTCGAGTCAGGGTTAAGTAGATCAAACTACCTACCAATTGTCGATACATCGTCGCATCTTCCAAATCTTTTCCTTCATGTGTACACATTTTGGCATTTGGTTCCATCGGCGTCGAAATTGGCTTGCACTGGCTTTGCACTCGAGCATCTTCCAAACCCCTTCAATAAATCTTTGGAATATTTTGCTGCCAAAGAAATATCCCTTCTTGTGGAAACGATGCAACTCTAGACCAAGGAAGTGTTGACGTGTCCAAGTTTCCTTCAGTTTGGAAACGGACTGATAAATTCTCCTTTGTCCTGAATAACTTCTGCCTCATCAATCACCGGTTATGATCAAATCATCCACATACACTCGTCGATGCTAGTTTTGCCTCCATTGGCCTTTGAACAAATAAGCTAGAAATCTGGCAGGTGTTTACTAATTAACCACTTGAGTTAGAAAAATTTCAGCTAATCTTACCATACCCATGCCTGGGAGCTTGTTTTTAATCCATGAGTGGCCTTTCTTAGCTTACAGACACATATTCATGACGATCTTGACTCTGGAAACCCATTGGTTGAAACATATAGATCTCCCGAATCCCAGCTTCCATGAGAAAGCATTTTTAACATCATCTGCCATAAACTCCAAATCTTTGTTGGCCGCCAGTTGCAAGTAGGACATCGCTACTGTTTGTAAAGTTCGGCCACTGGACTAAACGTTTCATCATAGTCTAAGTCCATATTGTTGAAGGAACCACCGCCGCTACCACCGTGCCCTTGTACCTTCTGATTGAACCCATCTGGACGACGCTTAAATCCTTGTAAACCCACTTACAGGATATGGTTTCACATCTCTTGCTTTGGTATAAGTTTCCAAGTTTGATTTTTGCTTCAAATGATGCAGTAATTTCTCTTTCATGCTGTCATCGGCAATCTAACTCTGCGATGCTTCTTCAAACGTTCAGTTCTGTAACAGCTCTTCCCTTTAATTATAGAGCTCATTGGCGTATGTTGGGATTTGGCTTTCTAAGTTCTTGTTGAATCTCGGAGTTGAGATTGTGGGAGTTGATTCTTCGGTTTTCACTGGACCCATCTTTCTCAATTCTGGTTGTTTGATATATCCCCTAGTTGCCAAAGGATTCTGGCTTACTGTTTGTTCATCATCATTCTTCATGGATCTCAACTTTTCTGGACTGATTGAATTGTGGACAGTATGCTCCCAGCCATATTCTGTTGCAGCTTTGTCTGACAATTCTTTTTGAGTGCTCGGCATACTCCCTTTTCTGAGGTTCCATCATTGAGGATGCTTCATCGAACACCCACATATCGTGATGTGTAGCACCTTCCACTTGGTTTTGGATCACATGTAAACCATTTCCACCCTTTCTCTGGTATATCGTATCCCACAAAAGATACATTCTGATTTCTTTCTTATCGATCTTGCCTACGTAGATTGTCAAGGAACAGAATAATTAGCATACACAGCCCAAAATACTCGAAGATAGCTTAACTGGTAGGTTTTCTTTTTCCCACAATTTCTCAAAGGTGAAACAAATCCAAACCTTGTTGAGAAGGTTTTATTGATGACAAATGAGCTGCAGTTCTCATAGCTTCGGCCCAAAGTCTTCCAGGTACGTTTTTCGCATGTAACATGCTTCGGCAAATTTCTGCAAGATGCCGGTTCTTTCTCTCAGCTACACCATTTTGTTGTGGCGTGTTGGCACAAGTGTACTGATGACGTATTTGACATGCCCGTAGAAATTGAGAGAACTCTCCTGAGCTATATTCTCCCCGATTGTCTGTGCGCAAGCAACGAATCTTTTGCTCCACTTCTCCTTCAATTATCTCTTTGAACTCTTTGAACTTTGAGAATGCTTCAGATTTGTCTTTCATGAAGAAAACCCATACATATCTAGAGAAATCGTCAATGAACGTCACCATATACCGCATTCCGCCAATTGACCGCCAATTGATGTTTGTCTAACAGGTCAAACACATCAGAGTGAAATTCTATAATGGTTTTCTTTGGCTTTGAACTTTGACTCCTCATATGGCAAGTCTGATGTGCCCTACTACACTTTGACATCCATGCGCAGACCTGTAATCCATCTCTCACATCAAGTTGAGGAAGTCTTCAAGCATCGACTTCTTTCACATATACTTAGCTTGGATATAGCTAACATGCCTAAATCGCATGTAGCTACGCATTGCTCGTCTCATTTTTTTTCCTTTGTCTTGTCTACATATCGACTCTGCTGACCTCACGATAGACC